TCTTAGAAACAGAGTGTGACACACTTACACACACATCCCGTGTACCTGGAACACACAATGGTTTGATTTCAGGTACAGCTTGGACACATGCAGAACGCTGTTCGCCGCCAAAGTGTGCCGGTCAGAGAAAATCGAAAACACAGCGTGGCCGGCCAACAAACTGGCCGCTGCTGGATTCGGTGCGAAGGGGGACTCGTTTGGATGTCATCGCTTTTTCTTGACCAATCTTGCTTCTGAGTTTTAGTTTTGCACATCCGGGCTGTCAGAACCTACAGTGTCCCTAGATTGATGCCATGAATCGAAATAATATTGGTTGGGGGTCGGGTGAAGCAATTGTCCCTGCTTTGATGCAAGGGAAATCATGACTTGAGCCCGCTATTGGTTTCGGGTGAACTCTTTGTTTTGGGGAGTGTGCCATGCTTTTGGAAGGTGACGGTGCTTGCATATATGGGCAGGTCAGGACAGAACGTCTCGATTGCTTCTAAAATCCGAAACACCCAGAAATAAGGGTTTAGGATGTTTATGGTATTATGGGCTAATGTTCGTATACGGCCATAGGACAATACAGCAGTTCTGTGTTTTGTTTGAGGGAAAGGAAGGGCCCAGAAGTGATTTCAGAACATTGTTTATTTTTGTGGGTGTGTACATCAAGAACGGACCATTTTTCAAGCTGTTGGTTTGGGGGTCTCTCTATATTAAATAGACAACAACATGTTTAACATGTTCTACTAAGACAACGATATGTCACGTTCTTAGTTGGGCTGCACTTTTCCCTTGGAAACAACACTCCTGCTCGCACAGAATCTAGCCTACGAGGCCGTTCCAGCATATCGTGTTTGGCTGGTGGCCGGACGCTTGTGGTTTTCATAGTACTTCGACGTAGTCGGAGCATGAGCTTTAGATTTTGACACATTATATATACGTATACAGTGATGTACAGTGTAGCCTCTTGGCTAGTTCTGCTGATGGCAATGGTGAGCAGAAGGGGCCATGATGAGGCCAGCGTTGGTGACCATATCTTCAAATCCGTTTTCGGAAAGACACCATCCCACAGCTCTCCAAATGAGTTCTGCCCTTTTGGACATTGCCGGTCGCCAGTTCGCCAAGAATATAAATGGTCGGAAAGTGGAGGGTGTCGTTGCTCGCTCCTGAATACTTTAAAGGTTTAATCTTGCTTATAGGAAAGATAGACTCTGATCTTAAAATAAAGATCTTGTTTCAATTGGAGATGAGAACAGTCTCCCAGACACTCCGGACTGCCAGACTTGATCCCTCCCGCCTGCAAACGCTGGCGGCGTCAATTGCCAGGGTCAATGGTAAATATTCACCGCTAGAGCCGCTAGGGCCCTAGGGATTTCGTACCGAACCTCAGGTTAGGTGATTGGAGAATGGAGACATGTACTTATGCGCATGTAGGTGCCTGGAGGGTCCAGTCGCACCGAACCAGAGGTTCGGTACGACAGGATCCCTAAGGTACGTGGAGTGTTTGGGTTGAACCTGTTTGGGTTCCACCACGGACCAACATGGACGTCAGAGGGTTCTTCGTTCCGACGCTCCGGACGGGAGGCTCATGTCGCACGCGTGGTCGACGTGTCGACGGGACGGAGTGGTTGACTCTGACCACTGAAGAGCCGAATCGAGTAGCGTCGGCCGATTGAACATAGGTTGATGAATAGAGGGGATACTGCACCCTCAAGTGTACCACCGTATTTATATATAAAAACTATTTATAGATCGACTTATAGAGCACCTATCAAAACCTGTCCTTACGTAGCTTAAAGGAAGTTGGACATCATTTTTGAATATGCTAGTCTTGGTAGTACTAAGGATAATATTACCAAACCGACCCCCTCTATGATTCTCCAAGTATGGACATCAGGACTCCGACTACAACCAAGTCAACCTCTCGGGCCACACTTCAAATGGGACTGGAAGATATGCTGACCAAATCCACCACCCCTGGCCTGGTCAAGTCATACCTGGGTACCATTGGGAACCAAGTCCCAACTCAGAAACAGTTCGTTCCAAGTTCTGGCGCCAGCTTGAGATCCTTTACAACATGGCTGGGACTGGGGAGTTCCATCCATGTCTTTTTCTGGCCTCCAGTCGTACCTTCTGAGGAGGTACTTGGAGGTGTAGGGAATACCTTCTTTCCTTATCCCTACACCTCCAGTCGTCGTACCTCCTCAGGTTCGGTATGACCGGACCTCCCACCCATCCCAGTCCCATCTTCTCAAGGCCTGTAGGGTATCTCTTGTGTCCACTCTGTGATTTCTTCGCAACGGCACCTCGGACACACCGACGCGAAGCCTGAACACGCGACACGTATACGCTTCCCTGGGTGGATTCCGCGGATCTCGATGGACAGTTCGAAGTGACCAATTCGAAGCTCTGTGAAGCCTATCCTCAGTTCCAGGTCGAAAACTGACCTCATTTGACAACGTCAGTTTGATACTACTCACTGGATCGGAGAACCGAAGACACCCCGGAGTCTGAGTCCCAGTCCTCGGTCGTTGAGAGCGTTGAGAAGTCGCACCCCAGGAAGGAAACAAACAGGGTCACGTCACGATCAACCAGGTGCAAGTGGATCTTTGTGGGGGATCCAGGTGCCCTGGGTAGTTTGGTTCTCTTTGTGGTTCTTTGATGTTCTTTTTGGAATTTTGGCCAATATTGTGTCACGGTTTAATGTAGACTCTTGATTAACAACCCCAGCCATTTGAATTGAACATCCTCTTCATCTGGAGGGTGTATTAATCAAGAGTCTGATATAGTGTTAAATCTTGATGGATGTATTGAAGATACACCTACCAGGGTTTCCCCAATTTGTGGGGTGCCAATTCGTGCGTTGTTGAAAAACAGGGCTAGACTCTGTCGTTTTGAACCACCCCAAACAGGATCCAACCAACACCCTGGGACCCAGGGTCTCCTGGTAGTTCTCCTCGTCGTTGGGAACGGTCCGCAGGGATCCACCCGTTTTCACCAGCCGCGGTCGGTCCATGTCCGACCGCGCCCGGTGGAAGACCACGTGCCGCACCCGCCCGCCCGAGACCATGCCGCCGGGTGAAAGAAGGGACGGTCCGCAGGGTCCGACGTTGTCGGACGCAGACTGGGTGGTGGCAGACTGAGATTCTCGTGTTCAATCATTGAAACAGTTGGGAACACAATAGGACCTGCATGCTGAATCTTTTTTCAAGTGAGTTGACATATGTTGAAACCACCAACCAGTAGAGGAAGACGTGACTGACACGTGACTGGTGTTTCATCTATAACTTGTAAGGGATTCTAACCAATTGAATGGCTCTCAGCAAACAACCCTTGTTTACTAAGGATTTCAGTCGTTTTTTTCACACACCAGGTAAAGCCTTCTGAAATGCGAGTCTGAAATGGAGCCAGTTGGCAGCAATAGGAGAACACATCTGCATGCTTCCAAAGCGGACATGAGCTTTTGGGGGTTTTTAGGGAGGAAGATCGGTCTGAATTGATGGTTTTGGAAGTACGCCAGTCCGCTTCGTGGGGCGAAACACCTGGCATGTGCAAACATGCGCGGAGGTTGAAAGGGGGTCTTTCTGGGGCGACATGTTTTTTTCCATGTTTTTCATGAAGTTTCTGTGGGGACCCTTAGAAGGCATGTCTTGATCTTCCATGTTAGTTCCAGGCAGAGTATAGTTCATGCTCTTCATATGGAGGGTTTATGGTCCTCAAGAGTCTACATTACTTGGAGCCCTAGGATGCAGGGATTCAGATTCCTGGCGCTTACGACGTGGCGCTCACCGTGGCGCTTGCACCACGTCGTGGCGCTCTGCCCTGACCACAACACCTTCTCTGCAGCCCGAACCACCAACCGAACGTCCCGAACGGGTTAGGCCCCCAGGTTAGGCATCGCGAGACGTGGACATCTCCCAACTCCTGGGGTCCTGGTCCTGGTCCGACCGCCAGGCCATCCAAAAGCGCTGAGGAACGCGGCGGAGACACGGCGAGAAAAACAGGCGAAACGGGCCGAAGAGACACCGAGCGCCGCGTTTGCGCCGAAAAGGACCGCGCTGTAGAGCTGAGAGCTGTTCTTGGTACAGCCTTCTGGGTGGGAAGAGAGGTCCGAAAGAGAGGGGCGGGCGGAAAAGGGTTGGAGTTGAGAACTTCAGGGACCTCATACGTGGGAAGACAGAATCCATGAGGAGGTGGTGAAGAACTCCTCTATATACTGGTATGATCTGGTATCAGTTGGTGTAAATGCCTGGTTCATGATCAATTCACATGGATTCTGGCAATGTGGGAAATAATACGTGTGTTACACCATTCGGGATGAGTGAAAAATGATGGTGGCAAAGTAAGTTGTTTGGTGGAACCCATGTGGTTGTGGTGGAACCCAATAGGTCACAATCAACATGTTGTTCTGAGAAGGTGTAACTTTTCCGTGTGTGCGCGTGGCCCGAAACATGTGTCGGTGTTTGGGGCTTGCCCAGGATTTGCATTGTGCTTTCTGCAGATCGAGTTCATGCAATTTTATGAAAGAGGGCTTAGAGACCTGACTCGATGGAGGAAACAGACTGGCAGAGTCCCACTACGACTGAATTCAAACTATTATGTTTGTTTGAACTATTTGTTTGTCCATGCAGTGGTGGGGTATTACGAATATCCCTTGTTGAGGTCCATTCAAACTATGACAATCAAACTGGAATGATCATACTCATGGTGCAGACGCTCCATGTATGGAATTTTCCTATATATACATCTGCAGGGTGGTTGACAAGGGGTCAATGTAGGCAGATCCTTGGTCCTTCCGACAGTTTGGAAGGTCAGAATTGCACTGATGATGAACACCGAAGCTGCTGCACACTACTTGGCTCCAGTGATTTGGCTCGCTGGGAACCTCGTCCACATCGGGATAGTTTGCCGGGCGCGAGGGCTGTACCGCCAGTGGCGGTGCTGTGCAGCGCTGTGCAGCGCCTTCCGCAGCACAGCGCTGTTTTTTTCGCCGAGGAACGGCAAAGCCCGAGAAAGTCATGGCGAGCCTTTGGGGTCTGTTGAAGCGCAGCCAAGAGGACGACGAAGAGCCCCAGGCCAGCTATCGGTCTGTGTGATGTCAACCATCGGCCTTCCACCTGGAACATGTTTTTCATGCTTTTTGCAATTCCCAAAGACACTAGACTCTAGACACTTGATGTATGACACAATTAAACATAAAACAGGTCAGCATGGCAAAGGTCTATACTAAACATGTTATTATATAATGGTTGTTTAATATTGGTTTATCGACCGTATTCGACCGTAAAACACCTAAATTGAAAACCTATGGGCTGGTGTCACCAAGTGCACTCCAGAGATTTCAAGTGGCACCAAGAACTTCAAGAACTTGAGTGTCAGCATTTGCGTCGTTTTATGTTGATTGTTTGCGTTGTGGTTTTGGTTTTCGTTGCAGGTGGTTCACAGAGCGGCGTTGTGTTTCTAGTCGTGTGCGTCAGGTTGTTCAATGTTGCGGCTGTGTTTTCAAGTGGAAATGAGCGTCGTGTTTGGCTCACTTCTGCCAGGTTTCCTCACTGAAAGCATTCCGAATGATCTTCTTGAGCGTTTTAGCCAAACCAGACCCGTTCAGGTGTGCCAATCAGTGGTAAGGGGTGTCTATTGACCACCCCAAATTTGGATCCAAACAACACCCCGGGACCCAGGGTCTCCTGGCACACCATCGAACACCGGCGTCTTCGAACGCTATCCGTGATCGGATCGTAGGGCCTCCAAAGCGGTCAAGGCTCGGTACCTGTAGAGTTTGGTGCCCAGATATCCCTTCTCGGGCTCTAGTCCCACATCCGATAGTGAGTTGAGCCCAAACAAGTAACAGTCAGTCAGTAAAGGCTCAGTAAAGGATGTAAAGGATTATCCTTTTTTGAGCAAGGCCCTTTACTAACAGGCATTTGCAAAACGCCTTTGATATGCCATCAGTTTGTGATCAAACTCTTGGAACATGCCATCAATCACTTGCGGCTCACTTGAACACTTCACTGGTTCCAATGTATCCCTAGTGTGTGTCAATACATCCCTAGTCCTGACCCCACAGTTTCGTACCTGAACCACCCAGGATGTGGGACAGGTGCCCTAATTCGTATTGGGGTTTGTCCATTACGTGGAGATAGGGTCATTTCATTTCATTTCACGCACGGCAAGTGCAGTCAAGCGCGCCGCCTGGCATCTAAATTCTGAATTAATCTGTGCGCGCGAAATCAGGCCCGTGAGTCTCGTGCTCAAACGTGGTCACTGAAAGCGATCGTAGCCACCTGAGATCATCGGGAGCATCTTCTAGTTCTTCGACTAGGCGCTTCGACCGATGAAAAAACAGTTGGGCAATCATAGTGCACAGTTGCGGTGTGTACTCTTTCAACTTAGCTGTCTTGAAAGAATCACCGTCTCGTCCGATGGAAGCAACCATCGGTCGCGTGGACGTTCTACAGGAAAACTCTATCTTGCGGGCCACCTCAGACGTCAATCCGCTCAGTAGGAACCGGGTAGGCTTAGGACTCGTCTGATGGAAGAATCCTTGTTCGAGTTGCAGTTCAACAAACAACCCCGTCTGGCGAAGCCACCCTAATAAAGCAGTGTTCCAAATGCTTGGTGACCTCGTTTTGCTGGGATCGAAAGAGCGAGGGTCATCTGGGTGTTCGAGGAGGGAAAACTTCCCTTGCGCCGCCTGTACGAGACAAACTTTCAGCGCGAACAACATAAGCCTATTGCCAACGTCTATTTGCTGAAATTCTCGAGGCACAAGGTCAAGCAGCCCCCACGGAGCCTCTGCTGTTCGCAGAGGCCTTGGCCCTTTCTTTGGCGACATGCCATCTGCTTCTCTCGCAACTGACCATGTCTCACATGGTGGCCCTGCCAACATGCCTTCTGCCAGTCCGTCGCGTGCTAGTCGAAGCCACAACTGCTGCGTGTCCTCTTGTAGCAGATTGCAGTACTTGCTGGAGACCATTACATCTACTGATAGTACCCACAGGGTAGTACCGGCTTCCGGCTCCAGCAATTCTAATGCGTCTTGCAAGTCGCCTGGTCTTCTCCTTCCACTAAAGAGGTGAAAGAAGTATCTGTCCCTGAATGCTTTTCTCGGTTGGTGTATGGGAAGTTGGCTGCACGTGACATCTCTTCGATCTTGTTCACTCTCAATGTTCTTTTCGAGCCCAGCTAGCACCCACCCTTCTATGGCAGCGAACTCTCCCGTGATCCTTGAGCCGACCTTTAGGAGAGCCGGATCCGCATTAGGACCGAGATCTTGCAGCCATTGCCCGAAGACCTTGGCAATATCCGGGAACGGCATTGGTCTATTGCAGGTGTCTCGTATCCTGTGGTACAAGTCAGCTTCGAAGGATGGATGGTCGACCGAAACTACGAAGCGCCGAAGCTCGGCGTCCAGGTCGTGCTTCAAGCCCTCATCATCACGGTTGGTGTCATCATCATGACATACTGGAATCTGTTCTCGGTATGTCCATGGCATGAGACTATGAGCCTGTGTCTGACTGGTGATAGGTGGGCCACGAGCTTTCCAGGCAAAGTTGCGGCATACAGCACTGTACTGTAAATGATGCTTCAGTTTCTCTCGGCAAAAATATTCTTTTGCACAAACAGGGCATGAAGTGCCTTGGGCAGCTTGTCCAGCCATTGAGAGATACGAATGCTTGTGGTGTGCATGCAAAAACCACGCACGCTTATTTTGGAAGGCTCGCTCGCATATGAGACAGTAGTGTCGGGTCACCGTCTCCTGTCCCTTTACTATCGACCCTAGCTCAACTAACATCTTAATGATTTCACTATGAGCCTGTTTGACCCTTGCCTCATTGATGCGAAAGGTTCTATATCTGGCAGCGATGCGCCGCACTAGCCGTTTCCAGGTGTGCGGAGTGCTGCTGGCGATTTGTTCCCACATCGGCCAAGAGTATAGCTGGGGTACGTCAGCGTCCCTACCTAATGCCAGCCAAAACCAATTCATGGATGCCTCATAGGCATGTCTGGCTCTGTCATCTTGTCGCATGAGTGCCCACACCGCAGTTGGGGCGTGTGCTACCATAGCCCCCAGGTGCCGAACTCGTGCTGTGTGCAGGCGGTCATTTGGCGTGGCCAATTCTAAGGACACTAGGACTTCGGCATTGGAAACATGTCGGGAATGCATTTCATTTGCCAATGGACTAATCTTGCGATACAAATTATGACAGGCATTCTGCCACATCTTCCACTCGGAGGCCTGTAACAGAGGCCAGGCTCCGCATCCCCAAGTGAAGATGGACATCACAGTAGCCTCGAAAATTTGGATTCGCAATTTGAGGGGATACCCCTGTACTTTCAGGACCTTGCGTGCAATTCTGGCAAAAGCCGCATTTGCCTTGCCTATGCGTGCTGAGATCTCAAGCTTCATGCTAGCTTTGGCAGAAACAATACCTCCGAGATGCCTATATTGTGTGACTATCGGAAGAAACACAGTTTCTGCTTCAAGCAAAACTGGAATTTGCGGATTCTTCGTAGCATAAATCCGTCTTCTCGCAGTAACAGCGTGAGGGCCTCGTACGAAAAGCAAGACAGCTGTTTTTGCTGTACCGATGGACGCCTTCATTCCAAATCTGGCTAGTTGTGTCAGCAGAGCCTGTGCAGCAAGGCCCGTTTGCTGTATCACTCTCTCCGGGGATTGTAATGGCAGAAGGAGGGCAAGATCATCCGCCCATGTTGCGTGACATGAGGTTTCCTTATCCTGATTTTGTTCTTCCTTTAATGGCAGAAGTACACGTTCCGCGTCAGCGGAAGTCATCAAGGCTAATCCGAGTTTCTGTAGCTCCTTCTGGGTCTCCTTAATAACTTCTGCGAAAAGAACATTGAAGGTAATATCTGCCCATGAGTCACCCGGTCTGGTGCCTACTAGTGTATGAATGAGCGGTCCTCTTTCAGTCCAAAACCAAGTGCCTGACAAGCTCTCCTGCAACAAAGATCGCTCAGCATGTGTGCCTCCAAGTGTTTCACGCGAGGACTTGCCTGTCAATGCCTCATGCAATTTGTGCATTACCTCACTGGGCAGTCCTAACCTGGAAACAACAGTAGCGATATGTTCATCTGTCATGTCCGCTCCTGTGGCCAGCTGACGCAGGACACGATAGAAAGCAGAGGCTATATCGCAGAACAGCACGGCACAGCAGTTTCCTCTGTCACGGTTCATCGATATGAAGTGCCGGACAACTTGAGCCCCGAAAATCACACTTTGGGCTGGCTTGCCCCCGAAATGTGTTTCAGTGCTATTGTCAACAAAAGCTCGGTTGACCTTGGAGCGCATTCCTGCCCGTACAGCTTTGCCAATGGTGCTCATGAGAAGAATTCCTCTGAAGCTCGAGCATTCCTGGACTGGCCCCTTGCCTTTGTATAGCTTGACTAATTGTCCCCCTTTCCATTGAACCGGCTCATGGAGCCACACAGCAAATTTAGTCATGAGCGGGAACAGGACTCTCGCCAGCTCTCGAGGAAACATATGGAGGATGTCTCCAGGCACTCCGTCAGGTCCCATGGCCTTATGTGAGTGAACTCGTCGGAGTGCATTCTCAAGCTGGTATAGTGTGGGCATCTCACTGAGTGCCTCCCACCTAGGTTGCTGACTTTGTTGCTGTCGCTGCAGTTCATTCCTAACAAAATCTGCTGGGTCTACTTCATGCCCGCCTTCGAGCTGTGCGAAATGCTCTGTCCATCTTTGCTGGTATTCAGAGAAACTAGTCGTGGCACCGCCATCCAGCTTATTAACTTGCGGCAGTGGCATTCCAACTCCATGTCGGCGACTTGTGCCAATGAGCGGGCGAAGCATGCGGAACACATCTCCGGGTTTGGATTCTTTGACTCTATCACAGACGCCGGCCAAGTAGGACTTTCGATCAGCTTGTAGCTGTTTCCTTAACTTCCATGCGGTATCGTTCAATTGGGACCGGATCATTGCCTGCTTAACATGGAAGGTTTTGGCCCATGCGTCCGTGACTCCTATGTAATTTCGGTTTCTCCATTTGTCGAAACATTCCCTTATCAATGCAAGCCTAGCCATCAACTTGTATGG